AAATACAGATTTGGTGCTGCACGCACAGTTAAAGGGCTCCACAGTGCTTTCTGCCAGAGTGGTGGTGCAGAGGTAGCCCATTTTCCCATCAATGTTTTATGTAACCATTTTTTTTTTTTTGAAAATCGATACTAAGAAGTGAAAGATCGATATTATATTGGGCAGCTGAATATCACGATATATCACCAAAACGATTATTTCCCACACCCCTAATTAGAAGGGCGGTGATCTGTTGGTCTCAAATAGGCATTCTATTAAAACCAGTTACTGGCGGCCATAACTTGGCTTTACCAAACTGACTGCAACCAACCTTCCCCATGAAGGTCACAGCATTTAAGAGAAAGCTGGGGTGGTGGGTCGTGCGAATGGAAATGTTGAAATGTTTCCAGAGCTTTAGAACTTTATGGAGAGTCATGGCAACTATTCAAACTATGAAATTATTGCCTCTCAACTTACCTCACCTGCTTGAAAGTTTCTATAACTATTCACCAAATTATGACAGGCCAGAGAAGTACAACTGGATATGCCAGCCTATCACCAGCTTCACCACGTTATCAGTCATCAGAGCTGCAGAACGCCCTATTCGATCTCTCTTCTCATCACAAATTACTAATTACTAGTTTCTGTGCAGAAATTTGACGAATAACAACCGAGTACACAGGACCTTTAAAAGCTGCAACTGATGTGTTGTTTCCATTTGCATCCACATATCTGAGCGAAAAGACCTTTTCTGCACTGAAATACATAAGAAACAACTACAGAGCATAACTCCTAAGTGTTGAGAGTGATTTCTGTGTGGGCGATTCTTACATGAAGCCAAAAAGCTGGTCTGTTCAATGTGACACAGCCGTCACTTTCAATAGTTGCAGAAAAACATCTCCGCTTTTGACCAAAAAGTTATTTTTCATTTTAACTCAGAAACAGATGATTAAAATTAGACATTGGCTGTTTTCTGCTGTTATTTGTTAAAATGATAACAGCAAAAGCTTTTATCATTTTATTTCATTAAAAGTAAATAAAGTTTGCGTTTGTTTACAATTTAAATGCAAAATGATGGGATGTAGCAACCATTGTCGGTCTGTTCGAAAAGTTAGCCTCTTTATGCTGCTTGATGTTTTTCAAAAAATCCAATTGTGTTTCAAAGTAAGATAATAAAGAGAATAAGGGGTGAAATGAGTTTGTACGGTAAGTGCTTCTCTGATAATAATATTGATCAGGCATTGGACAGCATTGCATGTTAAATCTCAAAAAGGTTGAGAATCACTGCTTTAATCAACCTAGCTGACAATACTAACACTGAAGATCCGACCAATTTTAAATAGTTTGGAGGCATTTAGGAACTAATAAAAATAAATATTTGTAGATAGAGAAAAGATACAGACATTTTGTAAGTCCTGTAAGATTTCCATGAATGGCTAATTAGTACCAGATACTGGTGCTAAAGTTAACAAAGGCTTCTAGGTCGCTCATCTGAGCTTTCCTAAAGGACTATTTTATGTTTTTAAGAATCTAAAATGATTCTTAAAAATTGAGATTAATGAATCCTATAGTCCATTAAAATTCAGATTTTCAACACTGTGTGGTAAGAACCCCTTAAAGTAACACTGCTTATTATTCATTTGCACTAGCCAAATATTCTACACTAACAGATTATTTAATTACAGTTTGTGATTTGTGAAGCTGTAACTTGTTTGTAAGAGAGTGGATGTTTTGTTTCCTTTTCTGTCTTTGTTATTATCATGAACCCATTAAGGAATATTACTTCCTGAATTTAATATAGTATTACACCTCTTTATAGGATTGTAATTAATGGTTATTTTCATTTCGGAATATGGTCCGCACTCTGCAGCAAAGAATTGGTGCAAAAGCATTCCCTGCTGCCACTCTCCATCCTCCTTACACTGCCAACCTGTCGATATTATATAATTTAAAAATTTGATAGGCAATTCCGAGCCCAGCTTCACTCCGAGCAAAAAAAATGAACTTGGTTCCCAGAGGAAAAACTCACCAACTCAGCCTGTGCAGAAGGAGCCAGGTGAAAGGTTTGAGGATGCATAAAGGCTGGATGGATCGGGGGAAGGGGTTTCAAATAAAAAGATTCAGTGTGGTGAGTTAGTCACCCAAGGCAGACCTTAAGCTCCCATGACCCCTAAGAAGCTGGAGTAAATTATTCATTGAGAGTCAAATGGCTTGTTTCTAGTGAAATTACCTTTTTCTCCCACTTCTCTTTTCAGTTCTAAGCCAGAAGAATAATTAGGCCACTTCAATTTTCCGACTTTAATCATCTAACAGAGAAATCACCTGCAGGGAGCATATTACATCTGGAGAGGGGTGAGTGGTGAAAAAGGAGTGGAGGAAAAATATAACATCAATAGAAACAAAAATCATACCAATTTAGACCTTAATGATAAATTAATGTAATTTAAAAGATGACTGCTCTGCAGTCATAGAAAAGCAAAGTGGTGCCTAAACATATCAGCTCCCCTCAACAAGTTCAAGCTTTTGTTGTGCATTTATAAGTCATAACCTTACTACTAGTGTTGTTTTTCAATGAGAGAAAAAAAGATGAAACAAGTAGAAGCACTGAAACAAAAGATGCTATCATGAGGGATGGGAATAAAGTCTCTACTATGTATATTTAGATTGAAAAAGAAAGCTGTCAGCATTAAACCTTTATTCTCACATATTTACTTTTATTATAATGCATTTTATAAATAAGGGTAACATTATTCTGATGCCAAATATCCCATCTTCTTTTTGCTCTGACTTTCTTCACTGGGGATGCAGGGATGCATCGTGCTCTTGAGCTGCTACATGTAAACGCTCCACTTTGATCACCAGCTAGTCACCAGCTTTGTCTGTCTGTCACTTGGTGCTCAGCAGACAGGGTGAGAAACAGCAACATGCTGTGATCAAACACATAACGTCTGTAGAGTTAAACCCAAACAGCTAAAACTACACTAAGGAGAACAGAAAAACTGTGCTTAACTTTTCTGCAGTTTTCTTTTGACAGATAACATTTGTGAATTGTCTGTACTCATGTTCATTCAGATTATAAAATCAGCTACTTTATTATAAATAATTTCAGTATGTCTTAGCTCTTTGCTTTAAAATCAAAATGCAAATTTCACTTTCAAAGGAAAGCTGATCAAATTAACATTACCAAAAGAAAAAATATATATATTAAGCAGACAGCCAATCCACCATGATTCCACCTGCTGTACAACCAACACATTTAAAATCCTTTTAGTCAACATCAGTGGTAAGAAAGAAGTACACTCCTAACTCTGGACTGTACTGAACTGAACATTGTTCCACGTATGTCCAGTAACAATGAAAAAGTGATTTAGAAAACATTTCTAGTTACTTTATAGACACATTACAAATCTTATTGTGTATTCAGACAAAACACAGAGTCCGCTGTTATTTCTGCCAGCAGCGTGTGGAATTCACCGCTCTGTATTTAAGATCCACAACATTTACAACCTGGACCATGTCATCAAATAGGAGGAGCTTTAGCTGCATGACGTCTGGTACCCAACTGATGAAAAAAAAAAAAAAACATTAAAAAAAGATCATATGTGCTGCTGTTGTTGCAGAGATATTAAATATATTTTTAAGAATATTCTTTTAAAATTCCCTTTTCGTTTATATTTCAATCCATTTTTTCATCAGTGTGCGAGACGGGAGGTAATTCTCGGTAGGCAGGTGTTTCTCAGCACAACACCGGTAAGGGAAAATGTGGACGGAAGTGTAGAACGGCCTTACGTAAACATATCACCAGGATAATTGACAATTAGGAGGACCTCTTATTTTGATGATCCACCCGGAAAAAGAAAATCCACTATACCTTTAAGAATCACTTTTAATTATGGCTCAACCTCCCAGCAGACGTTAGTGCTATGCTCGTTTTCTGATATAAAGTTACTGCGTTACATCACATCTCATTTCTGTGCTGGTATTGAATATAACATGGAATGATGGTTTAATAATCAGTAAACTACCAGCCTCCCAGAACTATTGCTTTGGACCTGCTGTTACCTATGGCAACCCTATATCATTCCCTGTTGAGGTCTCGCTTTTTACAATAAAATCACAGGTGAAACTTAAAATCACAAACTGCTGCTAAATTGTTCTCTATGCACAACTAATAAATTACTGGGGGAGAGCATCAATTTTTAAAAAATCTGCAAAAGCACTGAAAAAGAGTTAACTTTGGTTCATCCAGAGCTGCATCTGAATGACTGTCAGATTCGATACTTCCTTGTAAATGTGCCCTCGCAGAAAGCACCAATGCTGGGCAGTCGGCAGTGACAGACTGGTATCTGTGCTGGAGGTAAGGGAGCCAGCTAAACCCATATTGAGAGCATTCCTTATTTTTACCTTTGTTAACATAATTTTCTCCTTCTTTTGAAGTGAAAAAAGCTTCACCTACAACCAGTTCCTGATTGGTTGTCATGTCGTGATTTCATAGAAAAGCTCAGCTCATTTCAACTTCAGCGATAACCGCTCCACTCTCTCCATGTGGTGCTGCTGTTTGACAATACCTCAGTTCTATCTAGTAACACGAGGTGAGAGCGGAGCACTGACCGCCCTCACCATGTCAGATTCACCACCAGCTGCTTCCCTGCCTATTCACTGCGCTGTTCGTATAGGAATTCAATATGAATCCACCGCACTCACCTCAGACAAAATGCACCATTAGAAATCCTTCTTGTTTATAAACCTTTCAGAATGCTGAATATTCACACTTAATTTCATATACATGCCTCGATCGTGTTAAGGTGGAAATGCTTTACATCTAAGAGGTTATATCTTCTTCAACCATTCTTTGGAGTTGCCCATTTGGATGTGGATCTGGTGACTTTGGAGGCCTTTCAACCCTAGAAACTACTTGCGACATAAATCAGTTTAGGATGATTTCTACTTTTTGAAATGATGCATTAGCCAGAAGAAGCTCTCTTGGGAGCTTTTAACTGTCCCAAATAGATGGACATGTTCAGGAACGTTATTCAGTAAAGCTTGGGCAATCCAACAATGCTCAACTGATACTTAGTGTGAGAAAAAAAAGATATTATAATAATTTAATATTACTAAAAACTTTAATATTAGAAAAAAGACATCATGTTGTTTGTAAATGAGGAGACGTCACAGGCTCCAGCCAAATCCAGTTAATAGACAGTGTTCAGGACCAAGGACAATTATTTAATTTCCCAACCTTTATTATGTTCATAATAAGGATGATTACTTTTTATCCTGACAGAAGAAATGTCATAATTAGATAATCGGATTTAGAAAGTTTTAGCCTTAAAACTCAACAGGTAAGTAATATTAGAGTTAAGCAAAAAACATATAAGGATGACAGAAAATAATCCTAACATAATTTGTGGTCTCGCCTTGTGATTCATCATTCTGTGATTTTAGGAGTGGTGATTTGAGCCTAATGTTGGATTTCTACTATTTTCTATCAAGTCTGTCTATTCTTTGACCTCTGACATACCCAACACCTTTTCACCCAACAACAGATTACAACTGTAGCTTTTCTCTGTTTCCCATTTATTTCTGCAAACCAGTTAGATGATTTGGGCTGAAATTAGCAGTTAAATCATCACTTTCTGAGATATTCTTTAAAAAAGTCCTTTTGCGAGCAACAACAGTGCTACATTCAGGGTTAAATTCTCCCCCCTTGATCTTGTCTTATTCTGTTTACATGTTAGTAACTCATCAGCCCCACATCTAGATACAAATATGCACTGACTAGTTGTAATGTGAATTGCCGATTCATTATTTATCTATACAATTGATTGATACGGTGAACTTAATGAACTGGTAGGTAAGTGAATATTAGCTGGGATTTGTATGTAATTTGTATGACTATAGTCCTGGTTCAAACATATAAGTAGTTAAGGCAATAACAGCAGGAATTACGTTTGTGCGTAATGAACCTCCAATTAAATATATCTACACATAAATCAAAATCATTATCTGTAAGTACATTTTGTTTTTTAATTAACATCTCTTAGGAAATCCCATTTGCTGGGTGTGAAATACAAATGGTGTAAAAAGTTATTCTCAAAAGCATTTTGTCTGACTGTCAACAGATTTTGAACAACAATAGTACATCAAACTTTTGTATGTCATTTTTTTTTTTTTTTCTTTTTCTTTTTAAATATCAGAACAAAAACTCTCAGAAATTGTCTGGTATGAGAAGGCAAGGGAAGTTTATTTGTATAGAACAATTCAGGACAGAAACAATTCAAAGTGCTTTACATGAGATTAACAGGTAATTGTAAGGAAAATAAAAGCCAGTAAAGACAAAAACTGATAAAAGCAGGTAAAACAAACAAAACAGTTTGACTGCTAAGTTAAACCAATGACACCTCAGTTAACAATTTAACCTCAGAGCTGTTCTTAACAAATAGTTGTTTTTGACTCAGGCTTTCGGTACTTTTACAGTCTCCTGGGAGTTTTGTTCCAGATAATCGGAGCATAGGAACTAAATGCTGCTTCTGTATAAGAGTAAAAATAAATGAAAAGTTTCTAAAAAGTTTGCTAGCCCTAACGTCTTTAACCACAGTCCTCAGAACAAACTAGATTTTAAGTTTTTCCCTGCCTCCAAACCTCTGATTTAACTAAAAGGCTTTTTTAACAGGCTTCCTCAGCAGTTGGTGACTGCTGAGGAGGTGATGCAATCATTTGATTTAGGCATGCTGGAAGAAAGAGAGTTCTAACACATGCAGGGTCCTGAGAACCAGGGTTGAAGACCCCTGAACCTGTTAATCAATTAATGAGAAAATATCTATACACAAGTCCCTTTACAGGTATAACAGCGAGGGTACCTCCAGGTATTTGCCCTCACAGGGTAACCACAAACTTGAATTCTAAATAATCTTCATATGTTCATGTGTGCTGTTACTTGCAACACAGCATTACTATCTGTAGCTGAGTTTCCCTAAAAGTTTGACAGGAATGACAAACATCTTTCCAGAATTTAGTTTTCAAAATTTCTACAATATGCACAAAAATTATTGTAATCAAGCTCTGCTTCCACACACAACTTGCCAAGAGCCCCTGGACAAATGTGTGCATTTAGTCTAAAAATACTCTGCATGCACTAATAGATGGGCATGAGCTGATACTGCCAACCTAGTTAAACTTGTGGGACATCTTGGAAATCTTTCTTGTATTCCAGGGACTCACAGGGAGCCACAGAAAATAAACAAATATATATATATATATATATATATATATATATATATATATATATATATATATATATATATATATATATATATATTTAATAAACAGACTTGGTTATTAAAAGGCTTAAAAGATAAGGTGCTGCCCTAGCGATGTTAAACAAGAAGATGAAATATCTTCTTGTTTAATATGCTATAAGATTTTGCTATAAAACCTAAGTACCTTTTCTCATAGCAAAATCTTATAGCAACCCAATTGGCTGGGAGCTACCTCACATTTAACCAAACATTAAAGTCACATGACTGCAGTCAGGGTTGTGAGGCTGAGTGCAAAATCGTTGGAGATTAGACTGGGTAGCAGGTAAAACCGCCTGAAGAAATGGGCCTTGAGCAACTGCACTGGCTTTGATAGGTGTGTAATAATGACATCTTTAGGTTGGCATTAAAAGGGCATCGTTCTTGAACTCATGTGTTGTAAAAAGTTTACAGACTGAAAAATGAATGTAAAGACATTTAGAAAGTCTGGTAAAACATCAAGAAATACTATTTAAGATGATCACAAGAAGGTTTGATGGGATGAACTAAGAAGACTGCACAGTACTCACGCAACATGCAGGCTCAGAAGTCTTTAATCTACAAGTCTGTGACAGGTCTCGATGCTCTCTAAGACTAAAAACACAGATTTTGGTTAATTCAACCTGTGATCTCTGTTCTGTATCACAACAGCGCACATCTGTCACCCCAGGGAAAAGTGTAAAAATCGGATACCTGTCACTTCAACAGGCGGATTATTGCCAGTGAAGCAGGAAGGCTTATGACAAGCGTTCTCTTCCCTGAACTTCCTGCTGGGAGAAAGGCCTCAGGCCCGTGCTCACTGAGCCTGAATGACTCACAATTACCAAAACGACAGAGCCCACAGTCACCTCCCTTCCTCTCCAGCCGTTCCCCTGACTCACTTTGCGCACATGACAAATGACAGAATCGCCCTGAACCTCCGCCCCCTCTCTGAAGCCCGACTGCCCATCGCCCACACTTTGCCTGCAGTACTTAGAGTGCCAATAAGTCTGACCAAGTACTATGAAATGCAACAAACTTACTGCAACATAAAATTGTTCTGGCATTTCCAAAGGGCCGCTGCACCATGTGTCCAGTTAATTTGTCATTGAAGGATGACTTTATCCCACCTTGTTTAAGATGTGGGGGAAAAAAAACAAATTACTTATATCCAAAATATATCCAAAGCACAGGCATTTTGGTAAATAAAATAATGTCTGTGAAATCACTTTAGAACATCCTGTTAATGTAAAAAAAAAAAAAAAAAAAAGTGCATTAATCTTTAACCCTATTCTTTACCATCTCAATTTGCTTACAGAGCAGAAGTTGTAAGACTGCTGATAGTTGGATACTACAGCTCATATACTTTACTAGTTAAACGCAGAGAGGCAAAATAGTTGTAGCAGTATGCAGTTTTTCCAGAGTGGAGTAAGGGCAGCAGAGCTTGTTAAAATATTCACTAAAGAAAATTGCTTTTGCACGGAAATGGCAAAAAATACAGGATACTTCTTTCATAGGAACATGCATATTAACATATATAAAACATTACATCCAATTTTACTTTAAACATGTTTTTTTTTTTTTTGCAGCATTAGTTATTACTGCAAGAACTCAGGCTTTTCCTTAGCTACTGTATATTATGCTCAGTGTAACATTTGTCTTTCACAACGATGCTGGGTACTGAATCTGACACCTCCAGCGGTGCCAGACACTTAAGTCTTCTGTTCAACAATAGAACAACACTAGCTCTATTATTTCTTGTGCTCAGCGTTTTGGGATCCAGGCTGAAGACATGCTTAAAGTGAAACCAGAAGTATAAACCGTTTGCACAGAGACACCCGCCCAATTAATCACAAAGTGATTGTAGATCTAAGGGTCATTATAAAAATATCAAGTAATTTTACCATTACAGAAGGTGTTTTTATTACAAACAGCAGTGGATAAGTGCTTCCCAGTAGGTACTACGTAAACAAGAAAACCAATCAAACACAAATTAGCCAGTAGAAGCCATGGGCAATGCCCTAATCTTTACGCCCTATTTCAAACTATTTCAATTTGAATCAAGTCTGTTTTTCTCAAATTAACAATGAAATCTTGCTGGCGGAAGAGAAAGAAGTCTTTGTCAGGGGTGTTATTGGTGCTTGTGGGGATCTAAAGGACCAGAACTTAGCACTGTGACAGACAGGTAACCAGGACGTTTGGCCTATGGAGCCCCTGAGGGAATAAATCCAGAATAAGGGAAAAAAACAAGAGTGTTCTCAACTAAGTTCAAACATAAGACCACAACCACATCACTGGTAATCTTTTCATGGCAATTGAAATGCAATGCCTATCTTAATGAAAGGAAATACATGTTTTTACGGAGACAGAAAATCAATACCACGGACTGACTGTGTTGCAAGTTAACTAATGTGACTGAGCCTGAAAAACCTGCAGAAAATGGAATAAAAATGAGTCAGACATAATAATCCTGACTAAGCCTATATAAGGAACCTCTGGCAGTCAAGACAGTCACTGGATCAGAGCACAGACAGCGATGCATGCATTATGCATCACTGTAAAATCTATTCAAGTGAAGCGCACACACATATTACATTTGCATCACTTATTGTTTGCATTTATACAGCTCAGAATTCATTGTGTCTTCCTGTATGTGTATCTCCAAACCCAGAGCATTCAACAATACTGAATCCTTCCTTGAAACATTAGACAAAAGATACCTGCTAATAGATCATTACCGCTGAATAATTATCTATTACTTAGCCACACATTTACACACTCTTCACAAAGCTACTGCTGAGCACAGCGGCACTATCTCTTCTCCTTCTGTCCTCCTCCCCTCCCCCCAGGTGATGTTAACATCTGACAGCTTTGTTTATGTGCCGGTAGATTTTTTTTTCTTTAATTAGAACACTGGAAGTCTTAATTGGACATTACACTTTATTCTTGGGCCCTCCTGCCAGCCCACCTCCCCTTCCCCTAACTCTTTGATCCTCTGACAAAATTTTCCAAGGCAGTAGCAGCTTCCTCTGCACGCTGATCGCAGTGCTTAAGAAGCAGAAAGCTCACTTTCACACACAAGAAACTCTCCAGAGTATATGGCCCTTTTGGAGTCTTTGTCATTCAAGGTTTTATGCATACACACCCCTGCTAAAAGGAAAACTTGTGTGAGATAAAAAAAGGTTGAATAGTAAGAGAAAAAAAATTGTAGATTTATATATATTTTCGGGGAAATATGTTAAAAAACAGGAAAAAGGTTCAAATTTCTGTTTGGTTGACTGCACACCATTACACACCATTATGATAAAAAAAATCTCTAAAGCCTTGTTGATTAATGAAATAGGGGCTGATGAATCAAAGTCTTACTTTACGGTGAGAGTTTCCTTTGCCAAGAAATTGCAGATTGCATTACCAATTAAGCATAAACTTTAATTGACAAATTGGCAGTATCATCATGATCTAAGAAATATTTTTCTTTAAGGGGATAACATCATCAACAGCAATAAGACAGCCTAGCAAGAGTCAAAGTATAGATCTGACCGTAAATTGTTATTAGATATCTGACAAACTGAAGCCAGAAAATGTTACAAAGTCCTGGTGTCACCTGCTGATAAAAACCTATAAAATAAGACTAAATATTGAAATTATATCAGGTACCTAAACAGTAATGTACATTCTTCAGATCTGGTGTGTGTCCGAGAATGCACTATTAATTAAACTGAGATTTAGTAAAGGTTAAAGCTGTAAATGAACTTGTTTACTCTGACTGCATAAATCAACCTGTAAACCTCTGCTGTCAAAGAAACATTTTGTAATTAAGGTTCTTTATTGTTTCACAGCACTTCTGAAGAAAATTACCTACTCTAACAACTATTGATTCAGCTGAGAAGGACCACCAGAGCAATATACTCCATCTGAATTTAGTTTAGGTGTACATTTTCTTTGAGAGGCTGTACTTTGATTCCTGTAACCCTGACAGTAGCCCAATATGTTCAAGGAACTGTATTGTAGCTATTTTCTCCTGATGTTAAGGTATATTAAAGATTGTAAAAATGTTAAAATATGCCACTTTTAAGCTCCTTTTAAATGTATGACTCATTGATAAAATTAATCATACATATAAGTTACCATTTCTCTAAGACAATCAGTAAATTGACTATCGATTACGTTTTTTTTTTCATTCTTTTAACGAATGCTTTCTCTTTCTTTTACTGTTATCTTCATCTCAACCAACTACTCCAAGGTGGCGATGGGTCAAGAAGATGGCTCCTCAAACCCCAAGAGCTCTTCAGAGGCCTCCTCTAAGACGGTGGGCCTTCTGAGTGGTCATGCCTCTAACTCACCCCTGAGTCGATGGATGCAGCACAGTAAAAGCAGAGCGGCTAATTCCACCTCCTTGGAGCTGCCTTACCGCTCCCCTGTCCCTTTCTCCAAGCAGGAGTTCTCCAAACAAGAGTTCTGGGAGATGTTAGGCAGTGATCTGCTTAAACCTGACACCTCCAGCTCCAGAGTCAAACGTCGGCCCATTGTCAAGACTGGCAAGTTTAAGAAGATGTTTGGCTGGGGAGACTTCTATTCCAACATCAAAACGGTGAGGCTCAACTTGCTCATCACTGGCAAGATAGTGGATCATGGCAACGGCACTTTCAGTGTATACTTTCGTCACAACTCAACGGGCCAGGGCAACATCTCGGTCAGCCTGGTTCCACCTGTAAAGGCTGTGGAGTTTGACTTGGAGCGCCAGAGTGTTGTCTACCCAAAGGACTCCAAGATCTTCAACTGCCGTGTGGACTATGAGAAAGTGGATCGAAGCAAGCGCACCTCATTGTGCAATTATGATCCATCCAAGACCTGTTTTCAGGAGCAGATCCAGAGCCATGTGTCTTGGATTTGCTCCAAGCCTTTTAAAGTCATCTGTATCTATATTTCCTTCTACAGTACAGACTATCGCCTAGTGCAGAAGGTTTGCCCGGACTACAATTACCATAATGAGATGCCCTACCTGCCCTCAGGATAGAGGAGGCATGATGGGTAGGAGAGAGGAAAAGAGGGGGGTGTGACTGAACAAGTGAAGAGGAAACCCAAGTGATAAAAGTTGCAGAGGCAGCAAGACACCCTAAAACAAAACAAAACATGTAGCCTGACCATTGTAAGATGTAAGAACATATATGCAAACAACAGTATGCAGTTAAGAAACATCCTGAACTAACAATAAAACTCTGGAACCATCAACCAATACATTTGTACCTCAGTCCTGCTTTTAAACTCTATCATCTAGGCCGCATTCCACCAACCGTATAGTAATTTCCAATCCTTATCTGAATGTCCTTTTTAATCACCCTTTACAATTTTGCTCTTTTGCAAAGTCAAACAGCAGTGTGTGAATTAAAAGCAGGCTTTTAAATGGTCCAGTAATTCATCAGAGAGCTGCAGACAGATTCAGCGTTTATGATAATTATCATGTCGTGTTTAACATTGTGCTCTCTAAAGATGATTTAAACAGACCACGGGGAACATAAAGTATTCATTTGCTCACAAAGTGCAGATGAATGTGGTGTGTAACCAGCCACAGCATCATTTTAGAGTAAAGCCAAGGGCAGACGTTCTATGTGCCAAAACTTTATTATGTGTCTTCTGATTCAAACATCCCATCTCCATATTACTAATAAACTGTTTTCAGCTGGCAAAATCCAATCCCAATATATCCCTGAGTTAAATTCCCTCCAAACAAAATTTCCAAATAAAAAGAGATTGCTCGGCAGCATTTCAAGGCCAGGGCTTAAGACAAGCTTGGTGTGAAGGAAATAATGAGATGGTATGCTGAGACAGACTTGAAACCTCCACACTGATGAGAGAAAGTACAAGGTAGAGGGGTGAGAGATACAGAGATTTAGAGAGTTCTGTTAATTACAATGGAGAACGAGACATGATGTATGCGGCTCCATCTATTGTCCCTTCTGTATAAAAAAGATTACATTTTGTTGCCGTCAGGATTCCTGATTTCACGCCTTGATAACTTTGACTGTGTGAGGGAGACTGCTCTCTCCCTTGGCAAATACTGCATTCACCAAAGTAAACCCACTTATCTTGAATAAATGAAAATTTTATCATAATAATTACATATAATTTAATCTCTTTTAGATGTGATTAAGGTTTCAACAAGAGCACCAAATTTGTTCCTAAAAACAAGTCGCTGGGAAGAAGGATAAGAAGTCTTTCAGGAGGATTGTTTTGATAATTTCCCATCGGGCAAATGGCCAGTTTAGCTCCTGAGTTAACTGCACTCGTTGAGATAAATGACCACTGGCTGACCCGTCTCATGTTACTCACACAAACAATATCAGGGACACCAGCGGACAGCAACAAAATAAATCAGCCGCTCAACATGTTTTCATGCTAAAAGGTTATTAGTGTCCTATTTATGAGGACACAATGTCTTTTTGGTTAATTAGAATGAACATTCACAAGACAGGTGTGAGGAACCATTAGACTGAGGTATCAGATATCCATTTTGGTGCCAATGTACTGTGACATTGGTGATAAAGAACAGATAGGTCCACAGGAAGGAGCTGAAACAGCATGCTGCAATCCCATGTGGACCCAAACGGCAGTGAATGGCCAATGTAAAGCCTGTCTGTGGGGGCAGTCACATAAGGCCTGTACCAGTGTGTCACTTTGCTTACTTAGCGTTAGCACAAAAACTAGCATTACGACAATTACCTTGAAAAACATTTGTCACCCCTAAAACCTTTACACATTTTGCCACATTGCAATCAAACCTCATTCTATCTTATAATTTTATGAGACGTAAATGAAATGTAAGATTTAATATTCTCTATTGTTGAATATTGCAATGATGATACTGATGCAATAGAGGTACATCCTCCTCATGCATCTCTTTTTTCCAGCCTGTCAAACAGAATTGACATACAGTAGCAGGGAGTCCCTACAGGTGGCAGTTATTAGGCTGCAGAGCGTAAATGCATCATTCTTGAAATAGTTCAACCTAAGCGTTAAACAGTCCTTAGGGTTTGCAATATCTCATAAATTCTAATGACATTTATGGTTTCATATATTTTTAGAACTCCTTAATAGAGTAGTATTAAGTATTGCATAATTATAATGTGGAATGATTTTTAACTTTATTTTTCAAATGTTTATGAACCTACCGTACTTTAATTGGATCCCTCCAAATACAGTCTGGTGCAGACTGTAAAAAATAATCTCTAAAAGTATCAACAGCAAGGAACACAGCAGACCGGTCAAACATAAAGATGTGGAGAAATTTAAAAAGCAGGATGATGTCATAAAATGATAGACTCAGAGTATAATGAGGTCCATTATCTGAAAAGGAAAGGAATGCGGCACAACCAGAAAGAAAAACATTGTTATAAATGAAACATGGTGGTGGCAGTATCTTGCTGTGGAGCGCCCAGGAAAAAACTACTGAGATAATCCTGTTGGAGATTCCATAAGTTTTAAACTGAAACACTGGTTAATCATCACACATTCACGGCTAATTTGGAATGAATTAGATCATGGAATCATTAGAATCGCCTTGAAATAAAATCTATTTAGAATCTATTGGAAGATCTGAGAAATGCTGTTGATATGTCCTCTTCACAACCAGACTCAGTTTGGGCTATTTTGCCTATAAGAATCGGCATAAATTAGAGATTTTGAATTCACAAAGCTGGTAGAGATACACAAGAAATGACTTGCTGCTGGGATTGCAGCACAAGGTCGCTCCATTACGTATTGACTCAGGGAACCGAATCCAATCGCCTGACACAGATTTGTATTTGGAAGAAAAACATTTTGTAAACTCTATAGTTTTTCTTCCTCTTCACATATTTATGCATTTCTTTAAATTAAACTGAGGTTCTAACATTACAAAACGTGTACATTTTCAAAAGGTATAAATATTTTCAAAAACAAAGTTCTTCATATCTGCAAAGTTCTTAGTTTTTTTTACACTTTTCAGCTTGAGATAGCTCATCTCTGTTAAATTTGTGTTTGCAGTGCAAACTCCAGTCGTTGACAAAAATATCAACAGGGAACAGGCAGCAAATTCACCTGTGGCCATCATGAATGTTGTTATTCTGTCTCATGCCTTCTGTTCTTCTGTCTTCTATTGTTTATGTTTGCTTTGTATTGGCATTGATTTTACAAACCAATGTCCCATCCATTTGTTTATAAGTGTATCTGTCTTCATACTTTCATCAAGCTAATATCAGTGGCATGTATCAGGAAATGCAAGAGTGGCTGGTTTCAATTCTCAGAAAGAATAAATAAATGCAGAGCATCTGTGGCGCATACGTTATAGGTTAGGCAGCAGCTCAAACCGAATGCCTGACGTCTGCTTGAAGGTCCTTTTTCTGAACTGCTGGCCTGAATACAAAGTTCCATGTGTCTCAAATGCATCAACCAGCATGAAAAAGCCACAGCTTTCCTCTTTATTTCAGTATCCTCACCGTCCAGCTTACTCTGCCTCTTTCAGCATCAAATGTTTGCATGTTCGCATGCTGTCTTCACATCTTTGTCTGATTGAATTTGACCCTTTCTACCTCCTTTTTCCTGGAACTGAGCCCTGCTGTGGGTAGTTCCTCGCTGCTGCCTTGCTCCCTTCTCAGCACACGATTTGAGCCGGCTAATCTCTATGAGCTTAACATCAAGATAACTCAACATCAGCAGTGAGAACTTGCCACAATTCCCTTTTACATCTGTATCTCGTAAAAATATGTGTGCACACAGTTTTAATACATATGGGTTTATGTACTTCCCCATTCCTGTTCAAAGCATCTTACATAAGCTCCTGGATTGGCAGGAGGTGCAGCGTCCTGAAGAGCATGCTAACAGAGTGCTGAACATAAATACGCCCTGCTAACCTCAGTACCCCCACCCATCCAACCGATTCTCATCCCGCAGGGCCTCTGGAAACTCAAACAGTATGAAATCAAAGCTCAGAAACATAAGCCCTGGGCAACTTTGACAATGGAGAAAATAAAGGAGAAAGGACACATGTTGGGCTACAGACTGATAAGACGCTCCATCCTCTTCTCTTTACTGATCCTCTCAAGTAAACAGCAATACTCTCAGTGAGACACCACCCTCCGTGCCCCTCTGGGCGAAATAAAAAAAAAAGGCTGCTGATCTGTGATTACCAGACATGTTGCTTTGGAACACAAGGTGCTGTTACAGCAGCATCCTCACCATTTACCCATCTGGTGCCAAAAGACACATAAACATTTGGCCTTAAAGGCTGGAAGACAGCAATGATCCACTCAGAACAGAATGATTACAAAAAAGACTGTTTGAAAATGAATATACATATATAAATAATATATATAAATATATATATTAAAGCTAAAAGTCCTGAGATCTGAATAAAGTTGTATTTAAATGTGGTTCATGCTGTGAAGGTTGTCTGTTTTACCCTTTTGTTCCCTATGGTTTTGTTTCTCAGTGTCCTGTGAATGGTAAACTGTATGGATGACATGATTGCTTTTACTGTGATTTCCAACATCCTAAGAACCAATAAAGTACACAGCGGTACTTATGCCACCTAAACAACAGAGAAACAAGCTCCAGTCTTCTATCTGGCTCTAATCCGTGTCAAGGTGAAGTGTGTCAACAACACTGCAGTCTCTGTTTTCTTGTATTTGCATACCTTTACTGTGTGTGCCAGGCGCCGGTGGCAAAGAAAAGATGTGATGGAAATTTAGCTCTGGGCCGTTGCAGATATACGTGCTGGGAAAGAAAGAGGAAACAGGGGGGAGGAGAAAATGGGGCTAAAAAAGAAAAAGGAAATGTTTTAAGTAGAGTGATGCCAATTAGCCTCCTTTTTCTTCCCTCCCCACACTCTTTGTTGTGCCTTTGTTTTGTTGCTTCTCAGTGTCTTTTCTTTTTAAAGTGCAACTGGCAATAAATTAATTTTATGTTTTAATTAAATTCCCGACAACTGTTTAGTTGGGGCGATGAGTTCAAACATTCAGTTCGAAACATTGCCTTTAAACACGATCGATTAAGGCATGGCTAGCGGCAAAGCCAGGGCCTCTACCCCATCACCTCCACCATTCCTTTGTTCCCATAAAAGCAGTGCCTGCCTCAGGATAACCTTGCCTGGGATGATGAAAGGGAAGCAAATGAGTCAAAATGGAGAAAGAAGAGCAACTTTATTTGGGATAAAGGAGAATTGAGGTTAAAACAAAACATAGGAGCAGCATGCTGGGTCACACAGAGAGATAGAAAGTACAAAAAAAAAAAGAAAAACAGTCAAACGTCTTTCATGTTTAAAGAGTGATAACATTGGTAATAGAAAACCATGATACTAAACAGAGAAAACTGCAACTTATAGCGACTGAAGCTTTGCAAAGTTTAAAAGGCTGTATACACATTTAAGGAATAGAATTTTAATATGTACTGTTTTACGGTTAAAAATCATTTTTTTTTTGTGAAATTCCAAATAAAGTGCACAATTTCTGCTGCTCTTTTAGCTGCATGAAACATATCATGATGCAGTACAGCCTGTCTGCTAACCGTTGATTTGTATAACAATTCAGCATTCTTTACAGTATAAATGAAACATGCTGTATTTCTCCCTTGCTTATAAGAAGGAGAAATTCAGCTGTTTAGAAATATATGTTTGTAAAAACAATCAAGATTTGGAAACTAAAATGTTGCCTTTCAGTACGTCCATATTCAGATTGTGTTTGTTTTGAATTTTGCTTAAGCATTTGAAAGGAACTCTTTAACCAAATGGTTGACCATTTGTTCAGTAGAATTCAGGCTGGTATTGTTAGGAATGAATCTTCTGATGTGATGTTTTATTCTCATTGAGGTGTCGCTTTAGATGGATGCTCCTCAGAAAACAGTCTTTACAGGTGAGAAAAACATAGAGATTTAGAGCTAAGATCTGATTCTGTTTTTATATATAATTTCTTGAGTTTTTTTAGTTCAAACTCAAATGTCCCATAGTGAGTGCCTTCTGGTTACTTTTTACTACATTGTATATATATTACGTTTGGGAATGAGGGTTTAGAGCAGTTCTTGTAGCTGCACTGAATTTTTTGCAAATTGGTTTTAAACAAATGGGCTAAACATTTAAATTTTTTCATGTTTTAGTTTGAAAGCTGCTTTATCTTTTCTGTACGAGTCCCCCCAGTAATATTGCTGTCTGCAAACCTCTGAGTTTAAAGAAATTAAATGTTTCTTAAAATGTTTTCTCCCTTATTACTCTGACATTTACCACATGAAAATACGTTGGGTAAAATGTCCAATAACAGGAAACATCTAGCCTGATTAAATATCACATAGTGAGAAACGAATATAATGTGTTTTTCTATACTGTGTACGTCAAAATCTGGTGTCATGTATCTATGATGAGAAACACAGGGGTGTAAAAAAAAAAAATCAAACCTTTGTCACTGCTTTGTTTTGGATATCAGGATTATCAGGTTGTATCCTGCAGGGAATGATCAGTTGTTTTCCTTTATGACATGCTACGCCATAAAGTGGAATGTTTTCTTTGCCAGTAGATGATGCTTGCACTCTTCAGCAACCTCTCACACTGGCTGTTGACAAAGACAAAGCAAAAACCAGGATGCTCTCATTTCTTCACACTTTGAACTCATCAGTGGGGATTAGACTGGTGGATTAGTTTGTTAGTACACAACTGAGGTTCCATTAAAAGTCTGATTTCATTACCTGATAAGAACTAGGTCTCTCCTTCTCAAAGCTTAACCTAAAGCAGCAGAACTAGGTTAATCTTCCTAGTATCATGTTTTTTATAGAATAACATGCCCTAAATTATAATTTTATAAAGTGAACAATGCAAAATTTCCCTGCAAATCCCTTTGCAAAAACTGGTTTGAAATTTAGATTTCCCATTACTTTGAAAATTAGTTTTTTGTTACTTTTATAATTGTGTTGTCATGCACCAATGCATTCAAAGCACAAATTAAGGCATGGAGAGTTTAAGATGAAGATTTGGGTGTTTGACATTGTGTTATAGCAGTTAACTGTCATGTGATAATTATGCTAGAAAGGCAACTTCCTATCAATTAATTTTTTATTTTTACATACCCTTAAAAGTTTAGAAATTTCTAGTTCTTCCCAGACAGTTAAGCAGTATTAGATGCTAATTCATTTTAAGTTAATATAGCTTTATTTCAGTGCATATCTAT